AAAACCAAATTCTAGATTGTATCACTGAGCTATTTTTAAAAAAGAAAATCACAAATATCTTACAAATAAATCTATCCATCTTAGCAGCTTGACTGACTATACATAAAATTTCTTTTCCATAAACCTTCTTACAACTGTTTTTTATATCCATTCAGTTTTTGTCCTGTTCTTGTCCTCTTTCTCATTTTGGAACAACCACTCATCTTACATCAGGAGAAAATTACTCTCTTTTTCCTTTAATGAAAACACATTCTTATTCCCTTGCATACTTTTCCTTATTAAAATGCATCTTACTTCCCTGCATATTTTGCAAAGCTGTTTCCCTTCATACTTACTATTTCTAGTAGTTTTAATTACATATATTGATTATAATTTTTTTTCCTTTTCTAAGTTTATTGAAATGCAATTGATTGTACATATCTGTGGGGTACAGCATTGAATATTGATACCTGTGTGCAAGATGTGATGCTCAAATCAGGATAATTAGTATATTCAGCATTGCACAATGTAATAATCTTTTGTGGCCCTTTACCCACTTCTCGCATCAGTAAACTTTCTTTTACAGAGCAAACTAGGAAGCAGACAATTGTGAAGTGTCTGTCACATACCAGCATTCTCTCCAAGCAGATTGATAAATTTTATGAATATTCCACCTTATATACCTTATGCATATATGCTGTTTCCTAACAGTATAATTTTTCATGTTTACTAACAGGTCTATATATGTGGAATATACTATAAAGCATATGTACTTCACAGGGCCGGGTTTTCCAAAGCTTTGCAGTTTCAAATATTGACCTTGCAAGGACAGGAAATTTTCCTCAGGCTATAAGTCTCTGTTGCAAGATAAGGATTGTGGCACAGCAGGTTGCTGTCTCAAAGACAGACTAGTTACTGATGGTTATGTAAAGATACTGAGAAATTGCTATAAGAAGGAATGTTTGCTAAGATCAAGCTTGTGTCAATAAGATCACTTAATTGTCTACTGGAATGTCATTTGGCTTGTTTCACTGAAAGTTTCCAGCCTAAACTGTTAAACCATAACCCCACCTTTGTTCTCTTCCTGTAACTTCCTGGTCTGGAAAATAAATGCAGGAAGAGAACCCCAATTCAGTGTTAATTTTCCCAAGGAAGGGATCCCTCTTGCTGGAGGGTCCCAGGAAAGTTAACCACTTAGGGGCTTCTCACTGCTCAGAAGAGATGGGCTTTGAGTAATCCTTTGTGTCTCCATCACCTAGGGGAAGTGGGGTGACAAATCCGTGGGGGGCAAAGCAACACAAAGCAACATATATATATTTTAGCTTATCTATGCCATGTAAAAACAGGAAGGCAAAAGTATAACAATCTAAACTCAGGTTTACTAATTAGAGTTTCAGTGGTTTATGTTACTTTATCTAGTTATTTAATGAATATCTATTACTTGATTTAACTTAGCATAACTCTAAGGTATCATGCTATCAAAGATTTTGGAGACCGTTTTTAGGCTGACATGTTATAACATAAAACAAGGCTAGCCATCGTCTGAAGTTATTTCTGTTATCTATTTTTATAGCATGTGCATGTTAGGCAAGCATCACAAAACCAAAAACCTAAGAAAATTAAATTCATGAGTTGTTTGTTTAATTGCTGTGCTTGATATACATTAAGTAATGGATACTGCATCTTGTACATTTGTTCTTAAGTCAAATTTATAATTTTTATAATTTTAAACATTTAATAGAGAGAAGATACTAGTTATCCTAGGTAGAATAAAAATGTTTGCTCATATTATATTTAATGCTGATAACTCAGAAGACATACCCAATTTTATTAGAGAAATAATAGTAAACTCATCTTATTTACCAAATATTTGCCTAAGTCATGTAAACTTGAAAAGCATTTTGGTTAGTTCCTATATTTCTGGATGGTTTAGGAATAATTAATTAGGGCTCATTTATCTCTAAGCCAATTTGAATAGATCTCCTTTGAAGGATTTTTTAAATTAATTTTGTGATGCCTTCAGGATGTAGGAAAATATCATATATATAGTATACATACAAAAATGTGTACTTAAACATACAGATGCAAAAAGAGATGTTGTAGCTTTCATTCTAAAATTTTAGCCATGAATCAGGCAACACAGTAATATGAAACTCACTGCTTTATCTCCTCTTTATATTTTTATCCAAATTGTGTTTCTGACTAAAATGGGACAACTTGAGGATACCTATTCAACAAAGGCTAAAGATTTTTTCCAAGTTTTGCGTTGAAGACTTCCACATTTTCTTTTGCCCTGGTATGTAATATTATGCATCCTGTAGGCTAAATTTTAGGAGAGACTGAGGGGACATCAAGAAGATGTCTAGATGTTTCCAAAGTCCATTTGAGTAGATAAAATATTCAGTCTGTTTCCAATTAGCCTTTTCCCCCTTTTCAGCCTCAGATAGTTGCTTTCAGGGATTTCTGAGTTTCCCGTGCCCCCACTATGGTGGAATGGGGTCTAAAGTTCAAGTGACTTAGGGAGTTAAGGAACTGGAGGGGTAAGGGAAAGGTCTGGTAGGAATGAACAGAAGGGTGGAGGAGGTAGTGGCTTGCAGGGGGATGTATGAAAGGATTCAAGGGAGCTGAAGGGAAGACTGAAGGTGGTAAGAGGAAGAAGGAGGAGGGGAAGCAACGAGAAGGGAGAGACCTTAGAGGAGCCAGGTTGGGAAGATCTCGAGTTCCCTAAAGAGACCATGGAAGTTACAAATTATCCTCAGGAAAATCACACAAATAACAAAGAAAGCATACACAACTGGCATCAGCAGGGGTTCGAGAAGTGGGGTTTTAGAAGACTGAAAAGTTCCTACGTGAAATGCAAGTTCAAACAGAGAGAAAAAAGAGGCGTCAGGAAAATACAGAAAAAAAAAAAAAAAAAAAACAAGACAAGAAAAACACCTCTAGTCCAAGAATGGATCCCCACTAGAGGAAAAAAAAGAGCAAGGAAGAATTTTGCAGTGCAGGGCAAAGCCCAGGAATCAGGGACCGTACATAACCCCTCTCCAAACAAAAGACCAGGAAAAAAGACTTCTAGCTCAGCAGGTACCTTTCAAAAGAAGCCTACTCTCACCTAGCTTCAAAAAGTATACTCAGAATCATAAGAATCAAAATCTATCCTAAACGTGCTTCAATAAACTGCCACCTGAAGCACTGGCTCAGGAGTCAGACTTACCAATGGATTCCTGATCAGTCATCCAGGAGTGAAGACAAAGACTTCAAAGGTGCACACCGGGAAGTCCAGGAGTCCAATGATGAATCTGATCCTATCCAGGTCATGGCCACTGTAACTGTTAAAGAAGAAATGATTCATGACACTCCATAAAGATGGTCAGGGAGACTCTATTTAGGGGGAAACTACTGTACTAGGGACAGGGAAAAGAAACTGGCCTTGATTCTCACTCCAAATAGGGATTTATGTCCAAAGAGCAGGGTGGGGGCGGTCAGTGAATGAAAAATTGCTAAGAGAAACATGAGGAGTAAGGGGGATTCTTGCTGAAGGCAGGCCAGGGAGATCAGATATCAAGGGTAGGGCATGAGGAGTTTGATCGTATATGGAAGGTGTCAGATACCAAGGGTGGGGGATTGTCACTAAACTGACTTAGCAGGATTCTTGTTCCAACTGGGTTCTGCAAAGACAGAGGGAAGCCCAAGGTGGGGGGCCTAGTATAATAGGGCTTAGAGAAGCCTGATTAAAGTTGGGTCAAAGGAGTGAGTCTTTGTCACTTTCTTTTCCTCTTGGTGTTTATCATCTAGTGTACACAGATAGTATATTACAGATGACTCCAAGTGCTGTCAAGGAAAGTAAGCAAAGCCATGAAAACATAGGAAGTCCTAATTGCTTTGGGGATCAGGAAATGTCTTCTGTAAATCAATAATGATTGTACTTACATCTGAAGAGGTTGCAAGAAAAACCCAGAAGATGATTCTTGGACAGAAAGGATCCTGATCCCAGAACTGAAGGGTCAGAATAGAAAGCTGGAAGTAGGGTGGGAAGAGTTTTACAGGAGAAGGTGCCAGATGGATGCCTCAGCAGGTTGAGCAGATGAGACAGCTGCCTTTCTGCCTCTTTGGGATGTTGGTCTTTATGTTAAGGACAATGTACAGCTGTTGAAGGGTTTAAAAGAGAGGTGTGACAAGATCTGCTGGGTGTTTTAAAAAGATCACTGTGGCTAGAGGGTGGATAAGAGACTGGAAGGCAGCAGGAGAGGTTACTGGGGGCCCAGCTCAAAGGCTGTGGCTGTAGTCCCCAGAACAGATGATGGTGATTTGGAACAGGGTGGTAGCAGAAGAGATCAAAGGAGAGAATTTTAAAACACATTTAGGCCAGCACCTGAGGGCTGTATTGGAGAGTGAGCAATATGGAGGGACTAGAGGAGGATGCCCAGACTTTCAGTTGGTGTAAGTGGCTGGCCGTTGGAGCCACTCACCAGGACAGGGAGGGGAGAGGAGGGGCAAGATGTGTGTGTGTGTGTGTGTGTGTGTGTGTGTGTAGGGGGGTGTGCAAGGACACAGGTGAGAGGGGAGAATTTTGTCAGCTTTGAGCCAAGGCCTCTTATCTTTCCAACTAAAGTAGTGGCTCTCAAATTTTTACCAGTGACCTACAGTGAGAAACGCATTTTACAATCTCCCCGTACGCAGACAGGGTGGACAGAAGTTTCCAGAACAATGCTGCCCCTCTGCATGCACAACGTATGCGTATTTCCGAATCTCCTTCCTGTAAATCAATCAATCAATCAATCAATAAAAAAGCCAGACACCAGCAGCGCGGGCCGCTAGGTGGGGAGGCCGGTGATTATGGAGGTCTCCATTGCGGCGTAACTTGTGGCGTCACTCGCGACGTCCTTTGTGATACCGCGGCCCTGGCGCCGCTGCCAAGGCATTGAGAACGATTGCCCACACAGACTCTGAAGCTTCAGCTGGCAGCGGCGGTTGGCGGCCCAGCGGCCCAACCCTCCCGCGGCCTTTCGCTGCCCACCCCCAACATGGCAGCCTCCGCCGCCTCACAGAGGCGGATCAAGGGGATCCTGAAGAAAGGTTCGTTGACTTCCTCGGGGACGGCTCGATCCCAGGAGTCCGCAGGCGGAATCCAGGCGATGCGGGGAAGGAAGTCCCAGAAGTGGGATGAATCAAACATCCGAGCGACGTATCGCCAGGAATATGGAGACAGCGATTTACTGCAGCTGAATGAGTCCGGTGTGCAAGATGATGGGGAAGATAAAGGGAGTGAGGCTGACTCGAAGGAACCCATGACCGTGGACAAGCTGGCTAAGAAGTTTGCCACCACCAGCACCTCGGATCAAGAAGACAGCGGAGTGCAGGCCTGTAAGATCCTCCTGGACAGGCAAGAAAGACGGCGGCAGTTTGAGAGAAAGAGGAAGCTTCACTACAGCCAAGGCCCGGATATTAAAATCGCGAAGCAGCTAGTTTTGGAAGAACTACAAGATGAGGAGGCGGGTGAAAGTGAGGAAGGCCTCTGTGCTATGGCTGCCGGGAAGAACCCAACTGAAGCTCCGGCAGGCGATGAGCTGTAAAGCCAGTTCTGCAGTGTGTAGAGAACACTTGCTCGATGCAACAGTGCTTGCTCTGATCCAAACCCTGTTCCTCTAATACACTTGCTTGTTCTTGAAAACTGTATTGTGCTGAACTGCTTATTGGTTAAATCGTAGTGCAAGAAATAAATGGGAGTCTTAGAGAATGACAGATTAGTGGGGAAATGTCTGCTTGACGTTCTTGTGCTCAGTGCTTGACTGCAAGTACAGATCTTAGCACCAGTCCCAAACTACACCACTTTCATAAAATTGTTGGTTAATATGTGTATTCAGTAGCTTTTTAACGTGTTAAAGCTTAAAGGGGGACTAATTTATGTTCGTTTCTACATGGACTAGCTTTTATAGAAAAGGTTTCATTTAAAAAACACAATTGGTACAGTAGGGTTATCTAAGCTGATGAAATATGCCAGCTGACAAACACTCGTCTTTAGGGCGATTTGCCTGTTTGAGAGGGAATACAAGAGTTAAAGTTGAATTTCGTTAGCCTTTAAAGTTTCTCTTAAGTCTCAGTGTTTACAGAGAAATTACTGAACTTTTTCTCATCAAAAATAGCCATTTTTCATGAATTATCAGGTTGAGATTGCAACAATTTTCAGTCTGGTTTTTGTACACTAGTTGGGCAAATTTGGCATTACACTTTTTCTTTAAAAAAAAAAAAACCTTCTAATGTAGTTATCTCAGTAGTCCCTTCTCACACTTGTCTTACCCTCTGTCCTGTTTGCTTGGTCCTCCCTGCCCATACATACCCAGTTCCTTAATTTTATGGGGTATCATAGATTGTCAAGACATTAGGAACTCTTCTTTCAAATATTCTATCATTTGTTGCAACAGTGTCACTTCTATTTTGATCATCATGGTTTCTTCACCTTCCAATATGTGGAGAAGACAGATTGAATAGCAGGAGTAATATAGACAGGAAATAGAATTTAACTGCTAAATTTCTACACCCTTTTTATTTACAACTTGCTAGATAACTTACTATTATTAGTTTACCATTTGACCCAATTAGCTTTTAGACAACTAAGGTTTTCTTGTTGGTTTTTTTTAAAAGACAGAATCATGCAAAATCAATGGTATAGTTCTTGAATGGACAGACACAAGTAAGCTCAAAGAGTTTGTGTGGGTTTTTTTAATTTCAATATTTATTGAGATAATTGTAGACTCACATTCAGTTGTAAGAAATGAGTGATCCTGCGTACCCTTTACCCAGTTTCCCCCAATATTAACATATTGCAAAATAATAGCACAATGTAACATTTAGGATATTGACATTAATACAATCAAGATACAGAACATGCCATCACTGTGAAGATCACTAATGTTGCCCTTTTATAGCCACATTTGCTCTCCATTTCTATACTTTTGCCAGTGTAAGAATGTGGTGACCAAGTAACCTGACATGTTTGTTCATATAAAGATGCCACTGGATGAAAACAGCACATTAATTGTACTTCTAAGAAGTAAATATACATGTACCAAACATAGCCTCTGCCCCTCAAGAAGGTCCGAGTCTACTGGGAGAAAACTGTATGGTTCAGAAATGACAGTTTATGAAGGCCTCCCGGGGAAAAAGATGCTTGTATTTAAAAAAAAAAAAAAGGTGGGGAGGGGAGACTTCTTGTTGGGGTTACATAACTATTTGAAAGCAAACAAGTGGTTTCCAGATGCTTGTGGAGTGAGCACCAGCCTTCTGAAGGGGTTTACTTTCCTCTGTCCGAGTTCCTTCTGTCCAAAGGTGAGGACAGAGGGAGCCCAGCACCGCGCCCCCGCCGGCCTGTTCTTGCTCAGAAAAAGAAGAGGACACCCAGCTCACACGTGGCTAGAGTTAGGGGAGGAGTGGGGTGCAGACAAGATACGGGGAAAACCATAGAAGATTCAGAAGTGAGGTAGAGAGATGAGGACATTGGAGGGAATAACACATGGTTCTACATTCGGGGCCGGCGAGTGTCAACTTAAGAGAATCCTTTTCCACAGGATGATGCTGACGCTATCGTTTACCTAACACAATACCACACTTCAGTTATTAGGGAGAAATGCAGGCAAGAAGAGTGATGAGGGAGCCTCCAAAACCCAGATTTGGAGAGAACACAACCAAGAATTTTTTGCAGGAAACTTTATCAAATTAACACTACCCTATTACAACTGGGAAATTCAGTCCATAAGCAACAGAATGCAACATTCAGTACACATTCAAAGGGAGGCAGAAGAGACAGCTCTGAGCCAATGTCCACACTGGTTGGGCTTGGGCAGCCAAAGCTGCATGTGCAGAGGCCTTTGGAGGATTTAGGAATGCAGGCTGCAAAAATTCTGGGGAAAACTGAGAATTGTGGGTGTGTACCTATGTGTGTCTACGTGTGGACACAGGAGAAAGCTGCCTTAGGCATTCTTCCCTACCAGTATAAACACAGTTCTCTAATATAAGGTTATACATTATTAGTTCCTAAAAAAACATAAAGAATTGTTTTTATCATTGTGTAGGCAGAGCATTTTTGCATCATTGAACCTGCCTATGCATGCTGGGTACTAGATATCTTAATTTTTCAAGGAGCCTTCTTTTTCTTCTTTTTTATTTTTTTTTTTCTGTTTTAAAGGAGACTCTTTGAAAGGTTCATATGAGCCCAGTTTCCATAGCAACTGCAAGCATCAGTGATTACCCAGAGCGTCTACGTTATAATATACAGGCTACCCTATTAACAAGGATATACAGGTTAGCCTAAAAAGCAGCGTTTCTGAACCACAGACATTTGGGGCTGGATAGTTATTTGTTGTGGGGGCTGTCTTGGGTATTGTATGATGCTTAGCAGCACCCCTGTCCTCAATCCACTAGATGCCAGTAGCACTGCTCCCCAAGTTGTGACAGTCAAAAATGTCTCCAGACACAGCCAATGTTGAGAACCACTGGCCTAAAGAGAGGGTTGCTAGTGGCCTAATAGAGACAAATTGTTCATTAAAATAAAACAACAATACTTTGTGCAGTTAATGGAAATGCTAAATAAAGTCATAAGTCCATGATAATGCTGAAAAGAAAGACAAAATGTAATATGACACAGGAAAAACTCAAATCAATGTGAATAATTTTCTGCTCAAAAGAGAAGGATTTAACAAATTGTTCGATTAAGAAAAATTTACAATGAATTCATTATTTCATTTTGCAATACAGACCGCTCACTGGATAGTTTAAGAAGTTACTGTAGTCTGCCTGAAATTTACACACTCACACTCATAACTTTGATGAGTTCACGCTCATCAATTTGATGCTGGAAAAATATTAAATCTTAGGTCAGGTTATGGATTAAGGAGTAGAACTTCAGCAGGCCTGAAGCCTTAGTCCTTTGGGGGATTATTTTGGGAAATTGAGCTTCACTTGGCCAGGTCTTGTTGTAAACACCCAAGTGTACTCTGGTATTTTTATATAATTGTTTGCACCTGGTGGCAGCCAAACTCTTAGAAAGTCAAGCAGTAGGTGGCCAGGAGGTTGTGACATCATGGAAGAAGAGCTCTTCATGCCACCCCTTTACAGTTCCCTGTCTCTGTGGGGACCTTTGGGAGAGCTAGGACTTTTGACTCCCAGCCAGGAGCATAACGTATTAGTTCCTGTATTCTATAGGTATCTCCCTAAGTTTTCATGTCTTTTGCCATTGAAGAAACTTTATATCTTCAATAACAGTGTCTCTTGGTGTCTTTTTGTAAATCATATCACTTTCCTGTTGTGATGACTAAACTGGTGCCATTTGAATTTTCTATGCCTTCTTTCCATCCCGCAGTGTTGTGTATTAGACATTAGGAAATGTAGAGATGAAACTTAAATTTGCACCAGTCTCCTGTATTTCTCTTTGGTTTTTTTCTTCTCCTTTTATCTTTTGGGCTCATCACAGGACTCCTGTGGTCACATTGTTTTCTTTAAATTTTTCCATTTTTTTTCCATTAGTCTAATTTCTTATTACATTGTAAGAATTTCTACAGCCTCTCATCTCTCTTGAACACCTTTTAGAAACCCTGATCATGAAATCATAACCACCCTTTGTCTGACTTTTTAAGAACATGATGTTCTGAAGTCTACGTACCTTTATTTCTATTGCCAACATTTCACTTTTAGAAACTCCAAGAAGATCACTTCCTCCCAAAGTTTCTGCCATACTCATTTAAAGAACTCTATTGTCCTTGTTGGTGGGAATTAAGCCCAGAGTCAGGGCTCAGCTTGATATTTCCTCTACATTCAGATATGACATTGTCAGTAAGAAAAGTCAAGAATGTGTCAAATACTTAGTAGAAATAGACTTCCTATGGAAACAGATACCTTGCCTCCAAACCAGATATAGAAAGGGTACTAGGAAAGCATAGACTATTTATAATGTCGTAATTGCTGAAATGCTTTTTATTCTGCTTTAAACTTCTATACTGACATAATTTCAGACCTACAGAAAAGTTGCTAGAATAGTACAAAGAATTCCCATACACCCTTCATTGAGATACCGTGAATGTTAACATTTCACTACATTTGCTCTGCTTATGCAAGTACTTTTAAATGAAAGATACAGGCAGAAACACAATTTGCTCCTAAGATGTGCAAACTATGACCAACCCCAAATATTGCCTCTTTTCACACAAAATCTACCTGCCCCCAACCACACAGCCAGACTTGGCAGTGTCCTGGTTGCTCCCTTCCTCTTACATCAGGCTGCATGTGTCTGTCTCCCTCGCTAGACACTTTCTTATGACCCTGGAACACAGCAACTGTCTATTATTTCTCTCTCAATCCCTAGCCTGCTATTCAGTGCCCAGCACATTGTAAAAGCACTCCGTAGGTATGGAATACATTTTTCCTTTTATAAGGTTGGGTTTGCAGATTTTTTTGTTATCTTAGTATTGGTCTGCTTCTGAAACAGATGCTCCCTTTCATCCACAACTTCTTCCAGTAAATAAAGACCTTTAGGCATATACAGCCATAGGTGAGTCTCCTAGGTCTAGAATTTATGAGGATG